TATATCATCGCACTGTGGTGGAAGTGGAATTCGAAAAAGGAGTCCTTCGCCCGAGCAGTTTGGCTGAGCATCAACCCATGACCCAGGAGGGTCACAGCTCAATTCCTGGTCAGGGCACATGCCCAGTTTGTTCTGCTCCATCCCCCAGTGGGGGGCATGCGGGAGGCGGCCGATCAGTGATTCTCTCTCATCATTGATATTTCTCTCTCTCCCTCTCCCTCTCTTTTCCTCTCTCTAAATTCAATAAAACACATATTTTAGTTTTAAAAAGATTAACCTTCTGAAGTCACACCCGGCCCCAGTGAGGGAGGAAAAGTGTCCCCCCCCCTCCTACCCCCACCCTCCGCCCTTAGCCCTTCCTGATCCTCAGCATGCGGGGTGACAAGGATGTGGGGGGACACTTTTCCTCTCTCCCTGGGGCTGGGTGTGACTTCAGAAGGTTAATCTTTTTAAAAATAAAATATGTTTTTTATTGAATTTAGAGAGAGGAAAAGAGAGGGAGAGGGAGAGAGAGAAATATCAATGATGAGAGAGAATCACTGATCGGCCGCCTCCTGCATGCCCCCTACTGGGGATGGAGCAGACAACCTGGGCATGTGCCCTGACCAGGAATTGAGCTGTGACCTCCTGGTTCATGGGTTGATGCTCAACCACTGAGCCACACTGGCCGGGCGAAGGTCATCTTTTTCCCTCTCGGCGCAGGAGCAGCTAGAAGCAGCCCTGGAGCTGACCAGGCAGCAGCTGGGCCAAGCAGCCAGGGAGGCTGCGGCTCCCCCGCGGGCCTGGGGGCGCCAGCGCCTCCTTCAGGACAGACTGGTCAGTGTGAGGGCCACTCTTTGTCACCTGACTCAGGTGAGCATCTGGGAAGGGACCTACCCTCCCAGGGGGCCCCAGGACTCAACAGGTGGTTCCTGGAGGGGACCGAACCCCAAGAACTCATGGGAAGGTAGTTCTTGAGAATCGCCCCCTCCCCGAATTTTAATCCCGTGCTCTTGTCTGTCCCAGAGGGTGAGCAGCCAGGAAGCTGCAGAACTTAATTGAGTGGCTTAAGAGGGTGCGTTTGATAAGGATTCCTGGCGTTGAACCTCAGCTCCCACTCACGGAAGCTGTGTGAGCTTAGAAAAGTTACTTAACCCCTCTGGGCCTTCGATCCCATCAGATGCCTCTTATGTAAACTCGAGATGGAAAATACAGTATTTACTTCATAGGGTCATTGTGGAGGTTCCATAAATATACGTAAATGAATGAATGAATGAATATTTAACACGTAGGTACCTGGCATCTGATAAGCACTAGTTAAGTGTTAGCTATAAATATCATCATCTGTAAAATGGAAACATGAATAGTACCCATAGCACAGACTTAAACGAGAGCCAAGAACGGTGACTAACACACATGCAGTGCCTGATAAATATTCGCTGCTATAATTATGACTGTGGGCGAGGAGGTTTCTGCCGCCCAGGAGTGCATCGGGGTGTGGCCTTGACTAGCCCAGGGATTCACCAGGTGTGCCCCAGGGCGGCACAGAGGTGAGGGTTCAGAGACAGCTGTTCTTTCTCTCCACTAGCAGCTCTTTGGAGTGGCAGGTTCCATAGGCACTGGGGTTCCCGGTAGTTAGAGCCAAAAGGCGTTTGGGAATTGTAGTCCAGGTACTGTCGCAGGGCACCAGGCACCAGGCTTGCCTTCTTCCTCCTTATTGGGAGTAGGAACGATCTAGCGGGCGGGCATGCTAACCCTGTGTCTCCCTTTTCTGGGACCGAGGAGCGAGAGCGGGTTTGGGACACGTACAGCGGCCTGGAGCAGGAGCTGGGCACCTTGAGAGAGACCCTGGAGTACCTGCTGCACCTCGGGTCCCCCCAGGTACGTACGTCCCTGTCCCAAGCCCCCAAGCCCCACCCTCCACTCCAGGTCCATCTGGAGACCCTTTGGGCACTGAAGCCCCTCCCCCAGATTGAAGTACTTCTCACTTTATCACAAGTTCCTCCCCTTCTCTCATTTCCTCCCTTTTCTTTTCTTCTTTTTTTCAATAATCGCCCGAGGATATGTCTATTGATTTTAGAGAGAGGAAGGGAGAGAGAGAGAGAGAAACATCAATGTGAGAGAGAAACATTGATCCTGTTACCTCTTTTATGTGGCCCAACCAGGGATCGAACCCCCAACCTAGGTATGTGCCCTGACCGGTCATCGAACCCACGACCGTTAGGTGTAGAGGATGATGCTCCAACCAATTGAGCCACACCAGCCAGGGCTGTTTCCTTTCCTTTTAAATCCCTTATTATAGCCCTAACTGGTTTGGCTCAGTGGATGGAGCATCGGCCTGCGGACTGAAGGGTCCCGGGTTCGATTCCGGTCAAGGGCATGTACCTTGGTTGCGGGCACATCCCCAGTGGGGAGTGTGCAGGAGGCCGCTGAATCGATGTTTCTCTCTCATCAATGTTTCTAACTCTCTATCCCTCTCCGTTCCTCTCTGTAAAAAACCAATAAAATATATTAAAAAAAATAAATCTCTTATTATAGTTCACACCAAGCTCTTCACTTTAAGACCTACCTTCGGGCTCAGAACCACTCTCCCTCCAGTTTAAATCTCTCCTCTTATTTTGAAGCCCTACTCTCTGTGTCAAAACTCCACTCATCAACCCTGTCCCCATCCTGCAAGTTCATCCTGACTTTCGCTGTTGAATGTAGCCTCTGAATTTCCAGTCCTAAATCCAGTCCCTTAGTTCGAGGCCACTTCTGAAGGATAAGCCCTGTTGCTTACTTAGCCTCAGACCCACCTCTTCTTCATGCTTGGCCTAGCAATCGAGTTTCAAAATCATCTATTTTTTAAAATACTCACCTGAAGATACATTTTTATTGATTTTATTTTATTTTTTTTAAAAAATATATTTTATTAACTTTTTACAGAGAGGAAGGGAGAGAGATAGAGAGTTAGAAACATCGATGAGAGAGAAACATCGATCAGCTGCCTCCTGCACACCTCCCACTGGGGATGTGCCCGCAACCAAGGTACCTGCCCTTAACCGGAGTCGAACCTGGGACCTTTCAGTCCGTAGGCCGACGCTCTATCCACTGAGCCAAACTGGTTTCGGCCGTGAGAGGCATCAATTTGAGAGAGAAAAATAATTTGGTTGCTGGGAGATTGAACCTGTCACCCAGGCATGTGCCTTGACTGGGAATTGAACCTTCAGTGCATGGGACAATGCTCCAACCAACTGAGTCACATTGGCCAGGGCCAAAATCAAGTATTTTTTATTTTATTTTATTTATTTTTTATTGATTTCAGAGAAAAAGGGAGAGGGAGAGAGAGAGAGAGAAACATCAATGATGAGAGAGAATCATTGATCAGCTGCCTCCTGCAAGCCCCACACCGGGGATCGATCCCGCAACCCGGGCATATGTCCAGACCTGGAATCAAACCGTGACCTCCTGGGTCCTAGGTCAACACTCAACCACTGAGCCACTCTGGCTGGAGCCAAAATCATACATCTTTCGTTAAAAACATTGACTTCTAGTATTAAATGTGTACTTACAGATTTAAGCCCTGACTTCTTCATACTAAACTCTCCCAACTTCTTCCTAAAATCCACCATTTAACACTAACCCCCCCTAGTGGTGTCAAATATTACTTACCACCAGCAATATATGAAGAGAATAACGAATACATCACAACCAAATTGGGCTTGCTACGGGAATGCAAGGTTAGTTTTAACACTTGAAAATCAGTCCATTTATTTCACCACATTTGACAAAATAATAGGGAAAAACCACATGGTTGTCTCAATAAATGCAGGGGTGAAAGGACAAGATTCAACACCCCGTCATGATAAAAGCTCTCAGCAAAGTAGAAATGGAAGGGAAGTTCCTTAATCTGATAAAAGGTATTTATAACAAATCTACAGCAAACATGGTCAGTGAAATATGGAAAACTTTCCTCCTGATATCTGGAATAAGGCAAGGGTGTTGCCCTAGCTGGTTTGGCTCAGTGGATAGAGCGTCAGCCTACGGACTGAAGGGTCCTGGGTTCGATTCCGGTCAAGGGCACATGCCTGGGTTGTGGGCTTGATCTCCAGTGGGAGGCATGCAGGAGGCAGCCGATCAATGATTCTCTCTCATCACTGATGTTTCCACCTCTCTCTCCCTCTCCCTTCCTCTCTGAAATTAAAAAAAAAAAAGACAAGGGTGTCTGCTATCACCAGTTGTAGTCAACATTGTACCAGAGGTTTTAGACAGTACAAGTATGAAATAAAAAATTAGGTATAAGGACAAGAAAGGAAGAAGTAAAGCTATTTTTATTTACAGATGACATGACTGTGTATATATGTAGAATATCCAAGTAGTTTCCAGCTCTCGCCAGTTTGGCTCAGTGGATAAAGCACCGGCCTGCAGAGTGAAGGGTCCCAGGTTCGATTCCGGCCAAGGGCACATGCCTCAGTTGCAGGCTTCTCCCCGGCGTGCTCTCCCTGGTCAGCGTGCATTCAGGAGGCAACTAATGGATGTATTCCTCTCACATTGATACTATTTCTGTCTTTCCCTCTCTCTTCCACTGTCTCTGAAAATCAATGGAAAAATATCCTCAGGTGAGGATAAATAAATAAATAAATGCACACATTTTTAACAACAAAAAACAAAACCCCACAAAATAATTCCAGAG